TCGCTGGAGAAAAGCAGACGTCCTCAAGATCATATATTAAATGATCATATCTGATGATAAGCCTTTAGGCCATACATTATGGACATCCTAGAAAAGGTAGGCTGTCTATTTGGAAGGTTAACAAGCTGCAACAGGAAAACTGTTGAAGAAGGCACTGGACAGACCACATTAGGCAAACTTGTAATAGAATCACTAATGCCAGTGATATTGGATAGTGGGAACACACTCTTCCATGTATGTCAGCAGTTGTAAGAGGTATGATTGGCTGTATTTATTATAGGTAGGCCTGTGTATAGATGGACAACTAGTGAGGATAATCACCCTTACTCCCCTTGCTCAACAGGCTTTTATTAGTTTTAAACTAATAAACTAATGAAATATGGTTTCATTTATAATGAGCCATGCTAACAGTTTTAACTTAAGGACCCTATTTTATTAAGATAGCTTGTAAGTGACAAAGTCACAATATTTTTCACTTTATTAGAGCACCTTTATGTTTGAGAGAACACTTCACAGGAATGTATACTACGACAGTGCACTTTACTCAAGACATGCAGGCGTATGCATTCTCTCTGTATTACATTTAGTTGCCGCAAATATTAGAGGCAGCACAAGCTTTAAATTTGGCTCAGGTCACCGGGCATTGGTGGTACATGCCTTTAATCCTAGCACTCGGGAGGAAGAGGCAGGCAGATCTCTGTGAGTTCGAGGCCAGCCTGGTCTACAGAGTGAGTGCCAAGGTAGGCTCTAAAGCGACAGAGAAACCTTGTCTTGAAAAACCAAAAAAAAATTTTTTTTGTTTTGCTCAGGTGTAACCATAATTTGAGCCTCAAGAAAACTGACCTCATGGATGGTACAGCTGAATAATGGTTAACATTAAGCTATAATGTATATTGTACATTTAGAAAACACAATTGGTGCTTTTTAAAATTTTTATGTTCCACCAAATTATTACTTTAGAATTTAATAAATTCATAATAGGTTATAAACTTCCAATTGAATCCAAGCATATAAATTCTTGAAAATTTACTTCTGTATTATGGATATGAGGATAATTTATCATGTTTATATTAGAATGTTATAAGTCTATAATATTGGCTTTCCATTTGTCTTTTTTAGTGCTTTATTATAAACAAGGTGTAGTGAAACCTCTGAACTAGAGCATTCTGTGAGTAGAAACAGAGTTTACTGGGAGAAAAACTGCGGCTGGCTACCTCATGAGATCAGAGAGCACAGAAGCTCAGAGTAAGAGCAAACAGACTTGACATGATGGCCAGTGGGGTGGGAATCTTTGAGCTGACATGGGCTCTTTGGGTTAGTTAGGAACTATGTGTCTTTTGCTTGTGGCAGTTCACTGTTGGGGCAGAGAAGGGTGGCATTCCTGACCAAACATATACCCACATCACTAGATTTCTGAGGAATGGTGAGCTTAGGTTTCTGTTTACCTGACAAGAATCTGGCCTGGATTGGGCCTGTCACCTTAAGACATTCTCAAGAACACTGCCAAATTTTGGGGACTTTTGTGACCCAACACTGATAAATTGGCAAGTAGTCTGGAGGAACACTATGTTCCCTACATGTGATATTTACTCAGTAATTAAAGTTCAAAATGCATCATTTTTGCCCTTGGGCACGAGGCCACTACAGCAGCGGGATTTTTTCCTTTGCCATTATTTCCTTTAGGTTCACAGGTGTTATAAGTTGTCTGTGTGTCTCCCATCCCCCACTCCGGACTTTCACCCTCAAAGTTGCAGGATTTCCTTGATCTTCCTGGTTCCTAAGAGAAAAAGCAGGACAGGAAGTGATTTGGTTCCTGTAGGCCAGAGCCTTCCTGTGATCCTTCATCCCAAAGCACAGAACTCAAAAAACAGAATTGCCTTCTCCATTCTTTTAAGGCAAAATCTCTAGAGTAGCTTCTGCACCTAGGTGACTTTAAAGAATATTTCCTGTCTTGGGATGCTCACCCAACAACTTCCTAGGGTTTCCGGGGACTCCTCCGGTGGCTGGCGGCCTCCATTTATGGGTCCCATGGTATCCAATGCTAGGCAGCCACTGCCTTCTCCACAGGGACCCAGTGGCTGTCCTCTGGTTTAGATCAAGCTGACCCTAAAGCAAGGAGGTCAGGGTCCTTGTGCAAGGTCCCCAGAGCTCCTGAGCATCCTTCAGAGCACAGGGGAACTAGCCAGGCCTTTTCCACTCCGTACCTCAGGCTCCCGGGGCAGAGCTGAGGGTGACATACTTCTGCCTTTTAATTGGAAGCACTAAGCCTTTTGTCATTTTGCCCTCAAAGCCATAGGGGGATAGGTGAGAACATGAAGAGACAAGGGGCAAGAGAAGGCAGTGCCACTGTGGCCGGTGACGAGTATTTCCCTAGCGAATGGGACACTCCTATTTTGCCAGGCTGAAAATTCCAGCCTCATGGACTGCCTCACCAAGTTAGTGGGTGGTCAGGATGTGAGTCTCTCTCTTGCAGTCTGCTAGTCCTTACACCTGCCCAGTATCTACCTGACTCTAACTGGAGCCTGCCCTTTCCCCTCTGCATCTCTGGAGCAAGCTGGTGGAGCGCAGACGGAGCCTTGAGAGTGGACTCAATTCAACTCTACTAGTAGCTCGGTTCAGAATGACCAATAGTACCATCTGGACACCGTCACTGGGATATGAACACTGGAAATAGGCCTGCCTTGTTAGAGCTCCAGAGTATTTGGCTGTAGAAGATAGCACGTGACACTTGTCTGACCTCTGGTTTATTTATTGCTTGCCTGACCTCTGGCTTATTTATTTATTTATTTATTTATTTATTTATTTATTTTTACCAAGCAAGGCTTCACCAGTCAGTCATGACACGGGAGAGGAAGTGCAAAAGAGCAAAACAAAAACGCAGAGACGTTTATGTGAAACAACAGAATCATTTACCTCAAGTCATAAAGAAAAAACAGCAACGCACGCATGATCAACTGCTCGACCAGTGGGCAGGGACAAAATAGCAAAAACTACAGAAGTAAATAGGCACCAACTATTTCACACTGTGACTGAGAGGCCCTTCCTATGGCTTATGTGCACAGGGGATGCCAGGGATGGAGGTCTTCAGGTTAGCACAATAAGCTTGTGAGCTGTCCCATGGGGAGGTATTGTTGCATACAGCAGCTATCTGGATGGGTTGATTACACTGAAAACCTGGAAGGAGACAGAAAGGTAAAAATTGTATAAGGTCACTAATGCCTGAGAAAGGCCAATTTACATTTAAAATAGAAACTCCAACAGCATGCAATTGTAATAATAATTCACTGCGATTCACCCATCACTCAGCATCACTTATTAATATAAGACTACCAAGTTATTCAGCCTTCTATTATTGCAGCAAATAAGGGAAATAATTAACAGTGTCCATTTTGGCTCACTGTTTCAGAGGTTCAAACCCATGGCTGGTTGGTCCATGATGTGGGCCTGTGGTGAGGCGACAATGTAGCATGGAGTGTTCATAGCCAGAAGAGTAAGAGGCACAATTTCCTTGTAAGCACATGCTCCAAATGACTAGAACTTCCTGAAGGGCAGGCCCAATATAGGGTGTGCCTATGTAGTTGAAGATAATGGTCACCCTCATTTTCTTTCCTCTTTCTAAAGTGCTGAGAACATAGGTGTGTACCACTATGCCAAGCTACTTCACAAATTCTTTACAATTGCCATTCCTACTCAAATCTTAAAATTTTGTATGAAACAGATCCTGCAAATATCTTTTTAAAAGCACCAGGATGTTAATTTGGGGCAAAATACTGTAAATTTGAAGCCTCATTCTGACAGTGAACTTTCAAAAATTCTTATTTTTAACCAAGTGAAAACAGAAAATTCGGCTTTACATATTCAATCAACGAAACTGATTTTCTGAAGAAACACCAAGTAAATATTGTGCCATTTCCCAGACTCACCTGAACTTTTCTATTTCAGAAGTGGTGTCTTTTACAAGGTACCAACCACCATTGATAACAACTATAGTGTGTAAAAGTCACAAAGAAGCACCTTGTATTTTAAGACATGTTAAAATGTCCTACTATATCGAAAGTTAGTAAAACAATTCATACCTTTTGGAACTGAGTAGCATTGCTTCAGAAATGTTGCTAGTTGTAAAAATGCAAAGTTCGAAATATGATGAGAACATAAAGATGTAGCCAATAATTTTGGCCTTTGACATCGAATTTATTCTGTAATCCAACTGGCTTTGAATGTCCATGTCCAAAGCGAACTTCGTTTTCCAAAAGGAAAACCACCTGATACCATTCCACAGAGGAAAAGGCCAATAACCAACTTGAATGAGAAGTTACTTAACCTTCTAATATTGCAGCAAACAAGTGAAATAATTAACTTAAGAATGTCCATTTTGGCTCACTGTTTCAGAAGTTTAAACCCATGGCTGGTTTGTTCCTGATTTGGGCCTGTGTTGAGATAAAAATGTGGCATGGATTGTTCAACTCATACCCGGTTCAACAGAGGAGAAAATCATAAGCAACTTTTCTCAAAGACAGTAAGCAAAAACAACATTGAGGTGTTCAGAACCATAGATAATTTTAAAATTTGACATTTGGTTCTTTCCCAAGCTCTGAGTGTTTTTTATATTCTGTAGCGAAACATTCCATTGTTCCAAGCTGTACCTATAATATAGTGCTATAATATACTGATAGGGTACCTGGTGCAGGAAATAGTACCAATTCTAATGATTCAATGTTTTGGAGAACTCTTCAGTAAGATGCACTTTTGCAGAGGCCTTCTTACTTTCTGTCCCTTCATGCTACCCTTAGCAAGTCACGTTCAGAGGACGAAGCACGATACTGTAATAAAGGGCCAGCAGCCCATCCTGCAGCCCGGCCTCCCCAACTGCACACTGCACTTCCTGTAGAGTTTGAAAGTTCTCCAGCAACTGACCACCACAAATGATGTCTACCCGATAAGCTGCAGCAAGCTCCAGTTTTCTTTTGAGAAACTTTTCTAGATGTCCAATGGTTGCATTTCCTGAGACTCGCACAAACTTCCTTTTCAGTTGCTTAAAATGTTCAATGTCTGCATTAGTGGCCATAGACTCCAGTACTAAAGACATATTAGGTTCAATTGAACTGAGACACTATTCTACAACTTCCTTAGTGTTTCCTTCGCCTGAAGTGTCGGGCTGTGGAACATCAGCAGGTTTTGGTGTTTCTGAACAATTTTCTTTGGAGAATTCTTGTCTTTGCTTTTTTTCTTTTTCCTCTAGGCCTGCCACCAATTTGTACACTATGTTTTGCAAGTGAGGATCCAACCTCAGTTTGTTATGAGGTTTGGCCTCGTGCACCACAATGTTGCATTTCGGACATCTGTTGCTATGTTCAAAATGTTTTATGATGCAGCTTTTACAGAAGGAATGAAGACATTCTGTAATGGTTGCTGCATCTATTAAGTAGCCTTTGCAAATAAAACAGGAGATGTACGGAGTCAGCTGCGAGAGAGGAACAAGGCACTCTTCCTGGTCAGGCTCTTCCACTGCAGCCTTCTTTTCCTCAGTAGGAGACTGGGATGCCAGGCATTTCTGAGTCCCCACCACTCCGCTGGTGGATTGGTCCGCCCTGCCAGCTGGAGCTGCTGTGGTGATTGCAGAAGGCAAGTTCGGGCTTGCAGACCACCCGGCCTCCTCTGCTCCTTCTGGTTTGGCAGCATCCAAGCTGGCCTCTTGGACCTCTGGGCTACTCTCCTCGGCTGACCTGGCAGGAGAAAAACTAGGCAAGGGCATGGCCAAATTTTGGTGTAAGGCAGAGAAGAAAAGTGAGGTGGGGGCGTCAGATGGTTCGAGATGCAGAGGCAATTAGTTTGAGACCTTGGAGTGAGACCTGAAGGGTCCAGGGGAGACGAGGCAAGGCCAGATCTTGAACTGAGACCACTGGCAAAATCCTGGGTAGAGACGAGGTAAAACCAGGAAGCGAGGCAAAATCTGGAGACGAGATGAGGTGAGGTTACAACTGGAGATGAGACAGGCGAGGTGAGATCTGGAGTCAGGCCAGATGAAACCCAGAGTCAGGTGAGATGAGACCCAGAAATCAGGTGAGATGATACCTGGAATCAGGTGAGATGAGACCCGGAGTCAGGCGAGTTGAGATTCGGAGCCGGGCAAGATGAGACCCAGGAATCAGGCGAGATGAGACCCAGGAATCAGGCGAGATGAGACCCCTGGAATCATCCAAGATGAGAACCTGGAATCCGGCGAGATGAGATCCAGAGTCCGGTCCGGTCAGATGAGACCCAGAGTCAGGTGAGGCGAGACCAAGAGTCAGGCGAGATGAGACCGAGACTCAGGCGAGATGAGACCGAGACTCAGGCGAGATGTGACTGAGTGTCAGGCGAGACGAGAACTGGAATCAGGCGAGACGACCAGGGTGTTGAGGCAGCGAAACTGAACCCCGAGATCAGGAAGTAAGGAGAGATCAGGAAGCAACATGAGACGGGGAGGTGCTTAGAGGCTCGAGGTGGCACGAGGGGGCGAGACCAGGAAGTTCGGCAGACTAGAAGGTGGGACTGGATCCCGAGAAAAAAAAACCCAGGGAAGGCTGGATCAGGAAGCCAGGTGCCACCACAAGGTACAGTCAGAGTCATCAGACAAGGAGGGACCCCGAGGTAACTAAGAGGCCAGCAGTTTGAAGTGAGATGAGGGTAGGTGAGACCACAAGGCTTGAGGGTGCTGAGCACAAAGAGAAGCCAGGTACACACACAATAGGAGGGGGAAGTAGCGGTAAGCAAAGAGTTCCACCAGCAAGAGTCGATGGTGGGCTAAAGTCGAGCCGGGGGCGAGGGGGGGCGGTGGGGGGACGACATCAGGCCGCTAGCTAGCTGAATCGATGTGGGGGATCCGCTGGGGTGGCTGAGAACCGGTTCATCGAGAGCTTTCGGGAATTTCAGAGCTAAACCGGTGGCGGCGGCAGATTATGTCTTTAATCCCAGCATTTGGGAGGCAGAGGCAGGCAGATCTCTGAGTTGGAAGCCAGTCTGGGAGCCTGCAGCCGGCTCTAAAGGAAACTCACCTAATTTTCCTTTTCAAAGTTTTCATACTCAGCAGTAGCCTTTAAAAACAACTAATTCTGTTGTGGTCTAACAAAATGTTTTTTTCTAGTGTAACAGGCACGTTGCATTTATTTAATGTGTATATACATAAGGGTACAAGCAGATGTGTACCACTGTGGAGGTCAGAGGAAAACTTGAGACTTGGTTCTTTCCTACCTTGTGAGTCAAGGAGAGAGAACTCATAACTTCTAGGCAATCTTGCTAGTAGCGTGATAAACATTGTTTGCCTCGAGCATTGAGCAAGATCCCATATGATGTTACATTAGGAATAATAGATTTCTGTTTGAGCACTAAATGTGTCTTCCTATAGCAAATTGTATACAACCAAAATTATTTGTTAGAAAATATGAAATTTCTTTTTTTGAAATATACATTGAGTCCATTGAGGCAGGTTGGAAATCCAATTGCTATTTAACCTTCCCTCCCCCCTTCCCCCTACCTCTCTCTCCCTTCTCCTTTTCTTCTCTCCCTCCTGTATCCTCTTCTTCCCTCCCCTGCCCTATGACCTTCTCTCTCCTTCCCTCCCTCCCCTTGCCTCTGTTGTTAGTTGTTGTATGATTATTATGTGTAATTTGTTTTATATATAAACAAACAAATACATATATATATATATATATATATATACTAGAAATTGAATTAGGGTCTTGTCTATGTTTAGCAAGTCCTCAATTACTGAACTATATACTCATTTATACTTGTTACTTTAAGATACCTAACAGGGCAGTTAAAATTTCTGAATGAAGTGACAGATATCTTGAGTGGGCAAAATGGGGTGTAATGTAGGCAAGACAAGATAAAATGTTCCCTCATTCTTTTATATTAAGCATTCTGCCTCTGAGTTCCAAGGTGTGATTGTAATAGGAACCCTGAGGCTTAGAATTTTTTGGAAGATTCTAGGCTGGGAATGTGACTAGACACCAGCCCACAGGAGCCTTGGCACTAGTGGAATAGCTCATCTTCCAGGAGACTTACTAACAATTCTAATAGTCTCAGGGTCCTGATGCGTCTATGTAATGCATGCATCCTTTCTTTCATCTTTTCTTTTTCTCTTTCTTTTTTTTTTGTTTTATGAGACAGGGTTTCTCTGTATTGTTTTGGAGGCTGTCGGACCAGCCCAGCCTCGAACTCACAGAGATCCACCTGCCTCTGCCTCCCGAGGGCTGGGATTAAAGGTGTGCGCCACCACTGCCCGGCTCTTTCATCTTTTCTATAAATTATAATGCCTTTATGGGTAAGAGGAAAAACAACTGAGGATTTCTCTCTTCTGAGTTCTAGGAGAACTGTAAACAAATGAATTTCCTTCTACTGATTTGTCTTTACTTTTTGGTAGAGTTGTGAACGATGAACCTTGGTCTGCTGAAATGCGATCTCCTGTTCCCTACTGGATGTGAGATAGAACTGAACACAGCCAAGGTAACTGAGAGCTCAGGATTATACCTACAGCACCTGCAGAAAGGGGCCTTGCTTAGTCTTGTAGAAACCTCTCACTGACTTTTGCTGGCTACACACAAGGGGCTCTGGAGTGTACTTTCCTCCTCCTAGTCAACAGGAGAAGCCCGGCTGGATAGGAAAGCAACAATAATAGTTGTCTCAACACTTGTAAGTACTGCCCTGTCCACTGAACAGGCTCACTCATCAGACCTGTTCTAGAATACTTAAATTACACCTCACTATTTGGAAGAATTTCTTTTGAAACTTTGTCAGGAGGGGACTCTGTAGTCAGATTACACCAGCACTTGTGGAAAAGTCAGCTTTCAAGTTGTGAATTTAGGATGGAAATCCACAGCAACATGCAGTAAAAGCAAAACAACAAAGCAACATTAACTGCCACAATACAAGTCTATAGCGGCAGTGAAATGATGCTTACCAGGAGAAAGGGCTTTGATACCATTGATTTGGGCCTTGAGATGAGAGGGAGAGCATTAAAGAGGAGAGTCTCTCTCTCTCTCTCTCTCTCTCTCTGTGTGTGTGTGTGTGTGTGTGTGTGTGTGTGTGTGCGTGCGCGCATGCACACTCACATATAAAACAGGGCACTGGGCATAACACGGCCCTAAAAGGAAAGAACCTTCCCTTTGAAGAGGAATCTCATTTTGAGGGATCACTTAAAGTATCCCTCTGGTGCCTGCTGGTGCGTTTGTAGCATTGTTAAGCAGAAACATTTTGATGTGTTGTCCTAAAAAGAGGCCAAACCACCCTTCTTCCTATTCCAGTTTTTCTACACTTGAGGTCCTACTGATCTTTAATCATGATTACAAGCAATCAGGAGACAATTGCCATTCAAAAGACTTTTTGTTATAGTCATAGATGTTATGAAGACAGACTGAGATCAAAAGAGGGGGCCGTGTGGTTGATCATAAGGAAAAGAAGAGGGAGAATGTGGCAAGAACTTTAATAGGGGTCTCTGAGGGAAGCATTTATCTTGTGACTTTTTGATGATAGCATTCTTACTAGAATGAGAAGGACTTGATTTGCATTTTTCTGATGGTTAACGATGTTGAGATCTTTTCTGCAGCCCTGTTACCCATTTGCATGTCTTTTCTTGAGAATGTCTACTTAGGTCTTTTACTGACTTCTCGATTGGGTATTCTGGGTTAATCGTCGACTGGGATAACATTTTAAAAGAAAACATCTTACTCTATAGCCCAGAGTGTTTTGGAACTCCATATATAGACCAGCCAGGTTTCAAAATTTTGGCAGTCCTCCTGCCTGAGCGTCCTGAGTGCTAGGAGCTACAGAGGTGAACCATTGTACTTAGTTTACTGTGCTGGCTAGTCTTTTGTCAACTTGATATGAGCTAGAGTTATCTGAAAGGAGAGCAGACTGCTTCCATAAGGTTCAGCTGTAAAACTTTTTCTTGATTGATGAGGGAGGGTCCAGCCCACTGTAGGTGGTACCATCCCTGGGCTGTTGGTCCTGGGTTCTATGGGAAAGCAAGCTGAGCAAGCCATGGAAGAAGCCAGTAAGCAGTTCCCTCCATTTCCTCTGCATCAGCTCCTGTCTCCAGGTTCCTGCCCTGTTTGAGTTCCTGCCCTGACTTCCTTCAATAATTAACCATGGTGTGCAAGTGGACGCCAAATAATCCCTTTTCTCCTCAATTTAATTTTTGGTCGTGGTTTTTCGTCACAATAATAGAAACCCCAACTAAGTCACTTTCCATTCTTAATTTTGTTCATTTTCTTGAGCTTTAGGATATTTGTGTATCCTGAATTTCACGCTTGTCAGATACACAGTTTACAAATATTTTCTCCCTTCTTTAGGTGGTCTCTTCTGGTGGTTGTTTCTTTGTGGTATAGAATATTTTTGGCTTGATATAATCCATACTTGTCTATTTTTATTGTTTGCTGTGTATTTGGTTCTTGCTTAAAAACACCCATATCCATTTTAATATTTTAAACTTTGTCCCTGTGTATTCTTCTGCTACTTCTGTCATTCCAGGCCTCATATTTAAATGTGTTTAATCAGTTTAAATTTCATTTCTGTAAGTGACAAAAGAAGTCCAGTTATATTACTCTGTTGTAAAAGACTATTTCTTCTCCAATGTATATTTTTGCTTCTTGTTTCCCTTTTCTGTTTTCTTTTCTTTCTTCCTTTTTTGTTTCTGTTTACTTGTTTGTTTTGCAATATGGGGATTGGACTAAAGGCTACATGCATGTGAGTCAAGAACTTACCAATGAAGTG